CTCCTCCTCTCCATCTCCACCTCCTCCTCTCCATCTCCTCCTCTCCACCTCCTCGTTTTTCCGTGTAGAGATTTGTCTCTGAGCTGCTCTCAAATTTACGAGTCAAACTTCTCCTCTTTCTCTCCTCCTCCTCCTCTTCCTCCTCTCCTTGTTTTTGTGCAGAGGTTTGTCTTTGAGCTGCTCTCAGATTTGTGAACCAAGCTTTTTCTCCTCCTCCTCCTCCTCCTCCTCCTCCTCCTCCTCCTCCTCCTCCTCCTCCTCCTCCTCCTCCTCCAGCTGTTTTCTGTAAATCAGCTGCAGATTCTGACAAACGGCTTCTTTTCCAAATAAAACCGTAAATCTTCTCTTTGGTCTGTTTTTTATTCGTTCTGTCTCAAGTTGAAAAGCTGAGAGTTCTGCCGGATCAGAACCAACCAGCAGGTCCACCGGTCCAGAACCTCCGAGTTCCAACAGTTCTATCTTCAAGAGGTGGAACCAGAATCTTCAGGATCAATTTTGTTTCTGAGATCAGCTACAACAATGAAACGAAACTGGGCCAGGTTAAAACAAGCAGCTAAAAGGCTAAAAGCAGAGCAGGAGCTAAAAGGAGCAGAGCAGGAGCTAAAAGGAGCAGAGCAGGAACTAAAAGGAACAGATCAGGAACTAAAAGGAACAGAGCAGGAACTAAAAGGAACAGATCAGGAACTAAAAGGAACAGATCAGGAACTAAAAGGAGCAGAGCAGGAGCTAAAAGGAACAGAGCAGGAGCTAAAAGGAACAGAGCAGGAGCTAAAAGGAGCAGAGCAGGAACTAAAAGGAGCAGAGCAGGAACTAAAAGGAGCAGAGCAGGAACTTACTTAATGTAGCAGAACGCTAAATGAATGATGATAGTTAAACATAGCTGAAGGTCAGCTTTGAGTAGAAAATGATAACTAGAAGTAGCAAAATGTTAGCTAAAAACTGAAACCTGTAAAACACCACTAGCCCAATATCAGAGTTAGAACCTTTATCTGAAATAAAAAAAACACCAAAGTGTTAGCTAAAAGTAGCTGAAGGCTGCTGACTCAGCGTTGCTGTCGGGAATGAATGTTTCAAAATAAAATCTTAACAAAAGAAAGTTTGAAATTATTGTTTTTATTCAGAAACTAAAAGAAACTTTTTTTGATTTTAAACATTAAGCTAAAAGTACCGATGAGGGTACCTTGAGGATCCCCTTTTGATTCTCAGCTCCAAGATGGAGTCACATTTCTCCTGCTGTTTGAATAAGTTCATGTTTCAAGGTCAAAGTTCGTCCCAAACAGTCTTAAGACAGCAGGAGCTTCTGTCCCTTCAGCAGGAGCTTCTGTATCTTCAGCAGGAGCTTCTGTCCCTTCAGCAGGAGCTTCTGTATCTTCAGCAGGAGCTTCTGTATCTTCA